TTTCCCGCTGCCACTTCTTCATCCTCATCCGACTGGCGGGTTGCAGATCTTCTGCCCACAAGGAGCGACAGACTCTTATGTAATATTCTCTCAATCAAAGACCGAATCATCTTCAAGTCTCTCTCTGTAACTCAACTTCTCCAAGTGTATGATGGTGAGCTCGCAGTGTCCAGTATTGGAGAGTGGCTTATTTATATTGAGAAAATGGATAGGGAGAAATGCCCATGAAATTTCATATACGACACGGTACTGGTGAAGACATGGGCTGTGTTGAGCTACTGTCCATTTAATGCGAGCCATTGACCAATCATTTTCTCCTTTCTCACTCGCGGGCCGTTCTTATCTCTAAGGAGTAAGCACCCATAATTAGTTGTTCCTTTTTATATCATAGTTGACTAATGGAATTAACTTAGCGATTTGGCTCAAGTTTAGAGGGTACGGTCTTAATCAAACTTTTTGATCACATTCCATCCCTGGTTGCATCCTAGATTTTTTAGAAGAAACCTCCGGGTTCTGTACAAAATATCTTCGGAGATTTTATTTGTGCACAGTGATCAGTGAGAAGATTTCTGTAGAGCAAGAGAGAACAAATTCAGGGTTTGCTGCTGAGCTGGAAGTTTTGTTTCACCTGTTATGTGACAGCTCCAATAGTTATATATCTTTTTATCAGGAAAAAAAAAACAAAAGAAAAAGAAAATCATCCAGGTGGTTTCTTAAATATTGTGTGCGAAGTTTTCTCAAGTAAAAATCACAGGACGATGCAAGTGGGTACTGTAATGGCGAATTGGCGATAAGATAGATCAACACTCCAAGAAGTTTAGACGAGTTGACATGGAAAACAAAACATAGCGTGTGATGTGATGCTTCGTGACATGAATAGTTAGTTTCACAGTTCCCTTCTTTTTCCTGCTCGAGTTAACAGTTGCATATGTATCTATCGTTGATAAAAAATGAATTAATGATACTCGGGGTCTTCAGTACTCAGCCGTGGACATCGAAACGCGTACACACACGTGCGCGCGTATATGTGATTGAAGAAGAATGTAACTGCGTTCTGCATATAAGCAAACCTTAAAATATGATCAACAAGGAATCCATCTGCATGTCGATCGACGTCTTGCACTGACAAATAAAATATACTGATCAATTTCATCTTAACTAACCCTGCACGAAATGGTTCGAACCTAAAGAAAAGGGTTACTGAATATATATCCTGGAATATATTAACCCTTGATTTTGTGATTTTTTCATGAATTTGTATTATATGCCTAATATGGAGAAACATGTACGTACGTGACATTTGTCAAGAACGAGAGTGGAGCCATTGTGTTTGTTGGCGCAGAAACATGGCATTCAATGCAACATTGAGGAGTCGTTTTCTTCCTTCTCATCATACGCGGGGTTTCAACGGAGCAGATCCTTTCAGATCCATAATTTGCAGACCCCTCGGTCTTGAAATTGACTGATCAAACTCCAATTCTTTTGTCGGTCTGGTTATCCTGAAGGGTTGATTTGTGACCACTTAAGGCTTCTCAAGGGATTATCTTTGAATAATGGATCCTGAATGATCGATGTGGAAATTTCTGAGACAGAAGAGAGTGACCAAGCTCATTTACAATTTTTCCGTGCATTTGGTACAAATTAATGATCCGTGGGATCTATGCTCAGTGTGTGTCGGCAAAAACTAGAAATATATAGATCAGTAGTTAAACTGTGTGTTCATCTTGAGGTTGAAGTGCTACGTACGTTTCTGGATTTAAGTGATTTAATCAGTCTTTTGAAGACTAAGCTGTAATAATTAGAAGTTAGAATGTCGGACAACTAGAGATTTCTGTCTGTACTCGGTAATTAACGGGTTGGTTTGGAAGTTGATCAAGTTAAGCAAACTCGCAAAAAGAAAACGCGTGTGTTTAACGTCAGTGTATATTATATTTAACGGGAAGAACATGGTACGTATCTCTGCATGAACCGTAAGTGTCAGCGATCATCTATATATACTATTTATCATCCTTTTCTGGTTGAAATTTAATGTCACTAATGCAGCATTTACCATCATCTACAAGTCTATAAATATATAGTACTACAAAATATCATGATACAAGAATCAATAACAAAATTAAAAAAAGTTCTACTCTTCATGTAAAAGGGTCATCATGCCCCATCATGCCCGGACACGTTTGTTTCATTAATCTGTGATGCATGTTAATCAAACTTTATCGTCCCACCTTAATCACCGCTTTAACTAATTTTAGATGGCTACTAGTAATAACTCATTATATTTTGGCACATTGAAGTTGGAGTAGGTCGTAAAGAGAACGAGAATGGTAATTGTGTCTCAAGTTTGTCGGGTAATCTCATTAGAGTTAGGCAACACGTTCATTACTCCATTTTCTAGCCAGACCATCGCATTCACAAAACATGAAAATGAGATGCTATTACAAAATTGATTGACTCAGCCTGCAGGTCTGGGAAATCCTAGAAGAACTGGACAAAAATACTCTAATTTATTATTGATAATTGAAAAACGTCATTTAATCATCACCACGAAAAAACACACTAGTAGATATGACAAGATTGAGCATATTATAACGAGTAAAGTGGCAAAAATACCTATTAAATGGTTAGTCAGGAATATCCAATAGTTTAAAATGAGAAAAATGATAGCAAAAACATGTATAATGTTATGAAAATTGGTGTAAAACCAACCAAACTGTTAACTTGCCCTAATGTTTGTTAGTTTTGTATGTTAAATGCTGACTATGCTAATATTTGCTGACATAAACTAAAAAAGGGCACACATACCCATGAAATTGTAGACCAGGAGTATCTAGTAGTTTAAAGTGATAAAAGGGGCAGGAATACCTATAATGTTACTTTAATAAATGCAATAATGATCAATCTATCAAATCTTTTAAATGTTGACCACTTAGCTAATATCTAAGTAGAAGTTGATCATTTTTCGCTAACGTGGACAAAAATTATTTCCAAGTACTCCCTCTAATCTCATTTATATGTCACATTCTATAAAGTTTATTTAATCATATTTATAAGTCACAAAGCTATTTTTTAGGTAATATTTGAGAGATATTTCTAAAATAATTTTTCATGAAAGAGAAAAAGCAACATAACATCACTATTTAAATTTGTTATATAAGGGCATATTTGGAATTGTATATACTTTTATTCCTTATACTTTTTTGCATTGGTATTGATGAAATTAATAGAAATGACTTATAAAGAGGATTAGAGGAGTAGAATTTTACGGAGGTTGATCAGTCATTGTATGAATACCATGTAAAAAAATATCATTTTGACCTAACAACAAGTTAAATCACTCTCTTCTTTACATTAGTGCCATAAGCCAATTGAGGATTTCAAACCTTATCGTAAACGAAATCACTTAAGGTTGTGCCAATATTCTTGAGATAGGTGGCATAAAAGGTGTGCCTAATTACAAAGGTGTTATAAGTAGAGACAACTTTTTTCATGAAGTGTTTGCATTCTTTGCAGCAATAGCTCTTCATTCTCGATTTTCGATTGCGTACAACTTATCTTATTGTGTTGAATATTAGGTTTTCTAGACAAGAAAATTGAGTAAAGAGAGAGGAAAGAAGTGGGTGGGATATGTGATGATGGAAAAAAATCACGTGACATGAATTTTTTATAAATTAGTTACTATTGCACTTATTAAAGTAATGTTATGAGTACTCTTGCCTCTTTCTCACTTTAAATTATTGGATACTCCTAACTTATGACTTTATGAATATTTTTGCTTCTTTTTTAGCCTACATCAGCAAACATTGACAAGTGACAAGCGCATTTAGTATTTAACATTGCAAACTAACTTACGTTAGAGTAAGTTAATGGTTTGGTCACTTTTACACTAACTTTAGTAATGTTTTAAGTATTTTTATCCTTCTTCTCACTTTAAATTACTAGATACTCATTGCCAAATACTTCATGGGTATTTTTGCCCATTTTCCCTATTATAATTAAAAAAACCAGTCATATAATTTTTACATTCTTAGCCATTAAAAGATAATATCCATTTGGAAGCAAAAACTAAATATTTTTAAACTTTTTTCTTATTATTGTCGGTCAATTTAGGGATTATATTTTATTATTGATAATAATTTAAAATAATTTTATTTATATTTTCCACTTCATTAGATCCCATTCATAATATGGTCATTTGACCAGTTTTATTCTTTTCAACAGTATATTACTTTTATTCAATCAAATTTAAATTGAAAATGGAATATTTATTAATTTCTTTTTTTGGTAAAAGAATATTTGTTAATTTCTATAACATATGACTATTTTATTTTAAAAAATAAACTCATTTTTATTCGTTTTCATTTCTTTTGACATAAAAATATTTTATTCAAAAAGTTTGACATATATGAAATTGAAAACACGTATGGTCAAAAACTTTTCACGTAAAAAGTTTGTAATCATATTAGTAGGAAAAAAAATATATACATAATTTATTAAATTGAAAACTTGATTCCTTTAAATCGATTTTCACAGAAAAGAGTGTGGTTAAACCCAAATTGTAATAAATCACGCCGTCGTTTTTGGGAAAATTAAAAATGCTGCAGTGGTTAGGCTCGAGATCCAAATGAACAAGTTTAACACAGTTGTTTTGTTTTATGGATCGAAATCCCAATTTCTAAGTAAAAAAGCGATCTTAAATCTTTGAGAGGCTGCTCAACAGATTAAAAGCCGAAACATAACTAATAACAAAATAAAACTAATCACTGGACTCTTCAGTCTTCAACGTACAGTACGACAGACTATATGGCCATTGATCCCAAAAAAGGCAGACAATATGGCCTGAAACCTAACTGTACGACCAATATAAAGTACAAACTAAACAAGCGTATCCACATGCAGGAAAATCGATTTACACAAACAATGTTTGTCCAAGTCGATCATGAATGAATAATAGTTTATATCTTTTTAATTGATTATCTTTGATGTTGCCTATGCGCGCCTAGCTAGGGACGGCAGCGCATGTGATTGTCGATTATGCTCTGGAGTTCTTGAGGGTTGCAAGGGACGGCAAGAGGACCCTTCTGTGCGAAGCCATACTCTTCACCGGCCCTCTCCAGAAGCCTCAAGAAAGCAGGATCTCTCAGGCAATCTAATTTCACCGTAAATCTCTTCGCTTCTTCGCCTTTCACCGCCACCACCACAAAATGCCCTTCCGGGACCCTCCTTCCTCCTCCTGAACTTCTCGCCCCCAATGACAGACCCTTCAGCACCTTCCCTATCTTCGAGTGCTTCAGCATCTTCATCTTCTTCTTCTGGATTATTGTGTGTTTCAGATCAAGTTCAGTAGTGAGCTTTGAAGTGTGATATAATTACGTAGACCCGATCGATGAGCATGACATGGAATGATCGAATATATATAAGGAATTGCAAGGAGAAAGAAACATGCAGGAAGCTTCCATATTCTCTGAATTCCGTGTTGATCGATGACGCAGCAGCCATAGCGCGACATGTTAATTAATGCGACCTTTTGACGCGTTGAAGCTTATTTGTTTCCTTCTTCCATGTAAGCTGGCCTCCTTTTCCTTGCCTTGCCACGGAAGCTCTCTTACGCCTAATCGTTGTCCCTGATTATATTGTTATAATATTGTCACAGATAGTTCAAGCTTCAACGACAAATCATATACGTTCAGACCAGTTAATTATCTGACGGAACAACAGCACTGTCAAGAACAACAAGCATTCTATTGACGTTGAAGATGGCATTTGCGAAGGGGGACATCCGTGCATTTTCAGCAGTCATCCAGCAACACCATGTCCTGTTGACGGTGTCGGCAAAATCTAATTGTTCGACGCGTTCCCATAGCGTTCCACTATTTTTTTCCCTTGCTTGTTTCAGTCACGTTTCTGTAGGTTTTGTTTGCACCTCCATATTTGTTTTTTTTTTTTGGGACAATTCAGCATGCGGTGGTCTTCACTGGCCTCTGGAAATTAATTTTATATTTGTGGAGACTGAAGTTCCATGGAGTTTTTAAATCGATCTGAAGAAGGTGTACTGTTTCATCTGTCACCACTACTCGTATAACAGCGCTGGGTCCGTTTTGCTTCTACAGTCTTTCTTCTTTTTCTTATTATTTTCTTTTTCAGGGACACCGTTGTACCTACAACTTCAATACCTTATCGGAATCTTCGACTATCAACATCCAAGACTTTAAAATTTCGGTATCGTGTTTTTTAAAGGAGAAGTCAACAAAATGAGTTCCAAAATACAATAGGCATTTGTAAAGCGAAAAAAAATTAATATTTAGATATTTTTATATTTATGACCGTGAAATGATTAGTGTGACATAGAGTATATATAATATAAAGAATAAATTACTGAAAATATACCATGGTGACGGAAATTGATTAAACCTACATGTTTAGGTAATTTTGAAAAATTAAAGATCATAAATTAAATTAAATTAAATTAAATTAGTGTCCTATATATTGGAAATGATTGTCACCATTGATACTTTTTTTATTGCTCATATTTGAAGCACATTCAAATACTAAATGTATAGGCACTTTTCTAGTAAAATTTAAATTTTAATTTTTCACATTGTGAGACGTCACCATTAATACTTTGTAAATAACATGATTTGTTAATTTGATTTTTTTTATTTTTTTTATTTCCATCACAAGTAACCATTGGAAGTTAAAAATTTTATTTTTAAAAAAACATAAATATTTTACAATTAAATTTTTTATAGTAAATATTCTCAACCTATAGATGACCCTACAATGCAACTTCTTTATAAATGTGCTCATTCTCGTCCACAAAAATATGACACATCATAATACATGGACTATACATTACATATATATGTTAAAAAATTAAATGAACAGAGAGTTTATTGCAATGATAACAAGTTGGAGAAGCCAACTTTACGGCAAATTATAATGCAGATAACAATGAGACAGAGATTGTATAGTTGACGATGACATTTTGTCCGAACTATGCATCTCTTACAATTGACACTTTCGTTCAAATTTACTTACACTGAAACACATGTATTCTTAAATATATTAGTGCTTTTAGTTGGTTCACAAATTTATTTACACTAAAACACGTGTATAAACCATGAAATTAATATAAATTGCACTATTTACAATATGACTTGATGTGTTTTTAAAATTTCATGTATCACAATTTTTTGCCTAATGTATATGTCAAGCATTACCTTTTAACTCCCACAGTATAATTACCACAATATACGGGACCTACAGTATAATAATGAGAATAAATGTCTACTCTATTTTCTTGAAACATTTTGAATAATTTTATAGACTTAGATTTCGAAAGATGGACACTTGCCGTATGCTACGCTGCCCTTCAACTCGTTCACTCTCTCATTTTCGATCTCTCTCGATAGAGACAATGATATAGAGTCCTTTGAGTTGAAAACACATATGTGTGACCTGTGAGCACAACAATAATAATAGAAACAAATTTAATTAAAAGATCGTCAAGGATTGATGACGCTGCCCAGCTGGCACTCACACCACAAGTACTTGCAAGTTGACCAATTGACACCAGACAATGGGGGATGGGCACCTGCAAGTCTGCAGCACCAGTAGTATGGAAGCCCAAGGGGCAAAGCCATGCGAGAGAAGTCATATTGTGTGATGATACGAGGCCCATCAGAGAGAGGCCATCAGATGCCATTAAAAGAGCATAAAGATTAGGGTTAGAGGGATGGTCTTCTTCCTCTTGGTCCCACTCTTCAGTCTGTTACTCCCTCTGCTTTAATTTCTTCCCTTACCTGGTGACCGGCGTGTTGCTCCTTTGTTTGTGCATTTGTATTTGTACTGAGTTGTGTTTCTTGATTAATTCCATTAATGCGTTTAAAGTGTGTTTTTGCTTTGAGAAATTGTTGTGTATCCATGGATGAAGGAATGCTGATGCCTATTTTTATATATCAGGCTATTTTTAACTAAATTGTTAGAATAATATTTATATGAAGTCATAAATCATTGTGACATTGAGTAATTACATGTATATAAACTTATTTTTTTCCTTTTTTTATTTGTATATGCAATTTACTTTATATTGGTGTGTATTTTAGATTTTATATCTTATATATATTAACTTACTTTTGCATAATTTGAAGATAGTTTAGTTGAATTACCATCTTTATGTGTACACAAGGCTCATACTATTTTAAGACATTTGAAAGTCATGAATCCTAACCCTTAGATTAATCATTTAGAGTCTCAAACATCCTGAAAACCTTCAGAATTTCTCACTGCACATTGGCAGCCCCTCATTCATGTTTTATGCACTCATCTTCATTCATTCACCTTCTTTATTTTCTCTCCAGAACATTCATGAATCCCAAACTCCTGTTCACCATTTCTCTACCTTACACCCCTCCATTTCACCATTCAGATACACCATTTTAATATCCTAACAGCCCGCACAAAAATCCTTAGGTCCAAAATAATCATTAACTCGTCTTCCATCTTGGCCATAACTCAAGATATCAAAGAGAAGCTATGGAGGTCCAAAAAGAGACATGGTTAGGCTTATCTTCTCTTTTTATGATGCATGGATGAAGCCTTCTTGAGCTCTTGAATTTTGAGAGTTTCTCTTATCTTTTAACTCTTCTTTAATACAATGAGTTTTGATAACTATAATATTGTGGTGATAATAGTTGTTAGAATTGAACTTTGAGATGTTTGGTTAAGTATTATATAAGGTTTTATATTGTTAATTTGCCAATTGAGGTGTTGTTTTGTGAATTTAGGTGCAGGCCAAATTAATATGATTTCCATTGTTGCATTGTATGTTAGTCGCCTCTTGTGAACTTGTAAGACATAGTTGTGCTTTAAGCATATTCGAGCTTGGCTAAAAAAATTTTAATTAATTTAAGGTCTCATTTAATTAAGATAAAGCTGAAATTGATAATTAACTCTATAATTAACTGATCATCTTTAAGCACAATCAGTTTTAAGGGTTAATTTAAGTTCTTGTTAATCTAAATAATCTAATAATACTAATTATCAGTAGTTACTAGGATGTCTTTAAAATCAATTGAGATTAAGAGAAAATTAATTAGATTAAGTAAGGATAATAGAGGAAGTTTATGTGCCTAGGAAGACCATAAAATTGCATTTTAATCACACATTCCATTTAATTTCACATTTGTCCGATTAAGAAAAGCAAAAATACTAGTTTACTTTAATCTTTGTTTGGTCTAATTAAAGTCAACAAATCCAATCATTAATAATTTTTTTTTGGCAATATTAATCAACTAAGGTATTAATTTTTTTTAACTACACGAGAGATTTGATGTGAAAATTTGACGTGCACTAATTACATATGCACCAAATTAGATTAAGAAACACCTTAATATATATAAGGAACAACCTAGGTCAAATTCTCATAGAGTTAATTAAAAATTAAAGCCTTAGTCGATCATATCCACCCAAGAACAGTGATTAATGATTGGAATAGTTGATTGCAATTAAAATAAACAAAGATTAAATATAACTACTTTTTCTTTTTTACTTTTGAAAAACTAGAGAGATTTGAAAATGACTGGTTTGAGTGTTGACAATGCAATATCATGATCTTCTCAGGAACATGAATTGCCTCTCTTATCTTTACTTTGACTAATTAATTTTCTCTTACCTCCAATTGATTTTTTTAAAGGTATTATGATAATCACTAGGAATTAGCACTCTTAAATTTTTTAGATTAATTAAGATCCTTGATTAACTTTTAGAACTAACTGTATTTAAAAATGACCACTTGATTATGAAGTTAATCACAAATTTCAACCCTTGCCTTAGCCAAATGAAACCTTAATTAATTAAGAAAAATGATTAGCCAAACTCAAGTGCGCTGTACAACCGTAACTCTCAAACTCATAAAAAGTGACTGTAAATTAAATGAAATGAAAAATTAGAAATTAAATTAATTTCGATAGCACCCAAATCATCATGACAACACCTCAATTGGAAAATAAATGACATAATAACCTCATATAAATCACAAAGTTCAATCTCAACAACTATTGTCACTATAATATCATAATCATAAAAATTAAAGGAATTAAACTAGAGGTATGAGATAGGAGAAGTTTCCAAAATCCAAGGCTCAAAGAGTTCATCCATACATCTTGAGAAGGTTGAGCATGCCTAGCCACTCCTTATTTGGACCTCCATAACTTCTCTTTGAAGACCATCAAAAGAAACTACCATGGAAGAGCACTTAAAGAACACACCTTGATGAGGTGGAAGGAATGGAGATTCTTTTTTTTTTTTTGGTGGGGAGGGGGGGGAGTTGTGCAGACTGTGCATGTTCCCACTATTTCTCTGAGCAAAGTTGTTCGTATCACAATGTTTATTGTGTCAGCTTGACCTTTCATAAGTGGAGACAGAATAAAAGGTTCACAATAAATATGCTTACCACCTGCTCTTGATTCAACACACATCCAAGTGGATGATCTTATTTT